AAAAAAAACAAAAAAATAAAACTTTTTGTGCAAAAAAAACAACCCTTTTTTTTTGGGAAAAAAAAAAAAAAAAAAAAAAAAAGCACTCCCTCTACCCTCTACATGATCCATTAATAATCTGTTCCTCCCTCAGGGATCTGAAGTTGGACAACGTAATGCTGGACTCAGAGGGACACATTAAGATCGCCGACTTCGGCATGTGTAAAGAGAACATGGCAGAGGGCGTGTTCACACGAACCTTCTGCGGCACTCCGGACTACATCGCTCCAGAGGTGAGTCGGGCTCCGTGTGTGTGTGTGTGTGTGTGTGTGTGTGTGTGTGTGCGCATGTTTTGATGCGTTAGGTCACAGCTGTCACTCCGTCTGAGTCTTGTCAGCCTCGTGCTCCCGATTAAGGCTGCTGCCTTTAGACAGGGAAGCACATACATAAAAACATCCACACCAGCATCCTGACGTGAATGTTTGAGTCAAACAGACGAGTGAGTCGCCTGTCAAAACTCGACTCAAGCCTGAGAGCCGGGGTCTCTTCATCGCTGCCGGGTTTCTTTTAGTGGCCTGTAAGCATTTAAGTTTGTGACATTTTTATTTATCATAAGACAAATGCATTCACCTTAAAATCGGATGTTATTTGTGTTAATGTTTCTCTTCTTTTAACCAGAATACGAGCGTTTTGATGTCTTGATTTTGAATAAGGCCTTTTTGAAAAATGGGCAAATTTGTGCAAAGCTTTGGCGATATTCCACTAATGTTAAAAAAAGAAACATTTTGCTAATTTTTCTCGAGCCTGGGTTTATTTTTAGCCTCTGATATATGGGAGGCTGGGTTATTGATTCTCTCTAAAACTTTCTCTGTCATATCAGGGGGTTATTTCCAGCTGCGATGCTCGTACCCAGGTTGATACTAATGCACCGGCCGGGACAGCACAGCAGGCACTCAGAGCAGTCTGCCGCTCCAGAGTGCTCATTTTATTTCTAATCCCACGAGGCCTGTAGATATCCGTAATGACAGCAGCGTTTACAGCCACAGAGTTCCAGATCGCACATCATCAGTATCTGTATGCATGCACAGAATACAGAACAACCTGGGAAAAAGGCATGCATTTTACCTCAAAACTGAAAAAGTTCAGTCTGACTTCTGAAAATGAGTTGGACACAATCGAGGATAAACTGTTGCTGGACAACTGATTCATGCAAATCATTTTCTGACGAACCTGTGGACTGGATTTTTCTCTTGTATGTCAATGAGTGAACTGGGCTTTTCAAGTCTAGTAGTTCAAAAGTGCTTTACATCACAAAAAACATCATACAGTCACCAATTGGGGGAAAAAGCAATAAACATCACAATTTGTCAAAAATCATTAGTTGTGGTAACAGTAAGTGGTGATTGGTGGAACAGGGTTTCAAAGAAGGAAAAGATAGACAAATGCATCCAGTTCAACTTTTGCTCCAAAGTGACTTGTAGTCCGGAAAATATGGTAAAAAATTCACATGAGATCAATAATTTTTTTTTGTTAGGATTTTCATTGTTTCCTGGTTTTTTAGCTTTATTTTATTGCTACAGCTAAAGTAACTTTTGTATTCCTGGACATATAAATGTCCTGTTAGAAACGTGTTTGTTCCATTTCTTTGCCTGTTCCGTTGACCCCAGCTGCGTTGGTGTGGAAGTACGTTTTCGTGTTGCCGTGGCGCTCTCGATGTCGCCGTACGAATGGCAGAACACGGCGGCGTTCCCGCCGCGCACAGAAGCACTAGCACATGTTCAGGCAGAAGATTTCCACCGCACGTACGCTGGCCTATATAGCCATTCGTGTGAACTTCCACCTCAGTGACTCTGACACACAGAGGGAAGAGATGGGAAAGGAAGTGAGAGGAGGTAGCAACGCAGAAGAAGAAAACATGGTGTCGAGAAAAAGAGCTAACGCTGACAGACGTACTCAGACAATGAAGGGAAGACTCACAGGCAACGAGGGTTGAAATGAGCATTCGTTGCCTCCTGGTGGCTCGGTGTGCTTTTCTTTTTCTCTTTTTTCTTCCTGAAGAGTGTTTGAGGATATGTCTCTGTCCTACATGAATCATTTTTCCTCTGCTCTAGTTGTTTCTCTCTGTGGTGTGTGGCATCAGGAGGAATGAGTATCCACTTACTTGCTCACTCATATGTGGGCTGAAACAACAATCTCGGTGCCAGAATGAGAAGGCACAAATCTAGTCATAGTCTCTCTGAATCTGGGAATACATAATGTCCTGATATGCAAGCAATAATGATGAAGCTGAAGATTCTAGGTCACTTCAAGCAGCCGTGGAGAAAATGGCTGGCATCACCTTCTGTGGAGCCAGAGGTCCGTTATCTAACGGACCGAACTCGATCTGGGTGCTCAAGAAGGACACGGTTCTTGTTTTGGTTTTATTGATGTTAACGCAAACAGGGTGTCCGTGCAAAAAGTCTTAAATTCAAATGTATAAAATTGACTAGGAAATATTTAAATTGACCTTAAATACTTTAAATCACAGGTCTTAGATGTTGTCGTGGCAGGACTATTTAATCTCGTAGGTTCTTTTTTCTCGTGGGACTTTCTGTCAGTCAAAAGTTTGAGTCACATGCAGATATCGTTATTACATTCTGTGACTTGTGGCGGTTGAGGCTACGCTAACTAGCTGCTAATAAACTTTGCTAGCTAGCCAGCTTTTCCCTGTTTCTCTATTATCACCAGTTGACTGAACAAAGTTCGTCTTTGCCACCGGCTCACTCCTGTTGCCCACCTATACACCACATGGGCACCACATACAAAATATGACATTTTCTTTTGTACACTTTGTCATGAGAAAGGTTGTAATGTCATTCATAAAGGTATTAAACCCTTTCAATATTTAACATTTGGCCTCTTCATTAGGCAAATAAGTCCTTATTATTTACTAACTCAACAGCAAATGAGCCAATCACGTGGCAGCAGGCATTAAAATGGGATGAAGATGACGTGTTGCCTTGGCTTGTCTCCATCTGTCCCCTGAACAGGTTGCTGTTCCTTTACAGAGACAAACAGGACACACAGCTGTCCACGCACTCACACGCCTGGACAACAAAAGTGACCCATTTATTAACTACCTTGAATGTTTTTGGGCTTTTTGAAGAAGCTGGGGAACCTGGAGAAAACTCATATATTTAATTTAATTTAATTCAATTGAAATAAGAAAAAAAACTTTATTTATCCCAAAATGATATCATCCAAGTATCTTGAAAGAGTTGTTTTGGGCAGTCATTCAGTCTTTTATCAAATCTAAAGAGATCTCTGGCTGAAGGCTGTTGCTGGTTGATGGTCTCACGACCTGCTAACAGCTTCGTTTTGGGGCAGCAACAGTGACATGTCCTCCATGACACCATCAGTTTCTGCTACTCCACCTCATTTGCTATTGCCACTCCACTTTAAATCTCTGTTTGAGCATGTTATGGTCACTGACTTATGGAGAGAAAAATATGGTTTGAACTTCTTCCTTCTCTCTCTCCTGTTGGGTTTGGGGTCGTAGTTCAGGTACTACTTGAGCTTTTGAAATGCTAATCATCTGCTCAGAGTTATAAGAGGAATTTCGAATGTAAACTCGGCTCACATTGAATTAGAAAACACCTCGATAAAAGTCGTGTTCTTTTCATGAGCCCCCAGACTGCTCATTAATATAATCAGTGAAGGAAACCAGAAAACAGCTGCAAGTTCAGAGAAATCCTTTTAGAAGAAAGCCACTCAGCTGTGACCTGATGCACGGCCATTTGCTTTATAGTGCACAGAGTTCCCCAAGGAACCCAACAGTGACACTGAGTCAAATACTCACGTAGCGCCCTCTACAGCAGCTGGTGTTGTTGCATTCGAACACAAAATGTTTTTTTTTTTTTTTTTTTTTT